GGAATTCCTGGTTTCTTATCCGGTCTAGATTGGAAGCTGGATATGAGCTCTGACCGAGACAGCTCATATTCCTCACCGTAATTTGCCTCCTTCGACGAGATCGAATCAGCTAAAGTACCTCATATCTGAGAGGTTGGCTGAGTCGCGATGTTGGCATTTCGGAGTTGCAAGCTGTGGCGCGGGGCGGTCAGTTGTTACCCTTCTTGTAACAGTTCAGCTAACATGGAGAGCGAAGGTGTTCACTTAATATATCTCAATAGCCTTACCTCAATCGAATCCTATGGACTAAGAAGAGCGAGTTACTACACACCCAACCTTTCCAGCGATGTTGCTACGTCCTCTTATACATGTACTGTATCTCTGATTCGTAGGTACCTAGGTACATCATAGCCTATTGGGGAGACTAAGGGCTGGTATGTGATGCTGCGCTTATCTTCAAACCACCACTTACACACGAATAGAAACATGGGTCGGCACCGGTTAGCCCCTAGCAATAATAGACGTTTCGAGTAATTTATAGCGTCCATGTGCATTTAGCCCCCAGCCGAGGACTCTCAGGACTGGTTAATATACCAGACTGGTAGTAAATCGGCCCCCAATGTGATCACATACGATACCTTCATATAGGCGGAGACAGAAGGTTTGTGACTATTAATTATCAATTGGTCGATTGATTGCGCGTTCTACCTGATCATTGAAAATTTTGATCACCCAATTTCCAAGTCTCAAGTTAAGTAGTGGGGGTGTCGCAGAAAGTTTGGAAGTCGGCGAATGATACTGGTATTAGAAGCTGAGCCCAGGCCAGGATGCAACGTGGACACAGTTGACGCTGCATGTCTAAACTAGACTCTAATTCTCAGTAATCGACGTCCCTGATAGGATACGATGATACACAAATCTTACGCCATCATGTCATCACCTAATTCTCTGCTGATAAAACATTACGTGCTTGTGTGACAAGGTCCGGTTGATTCGACTGATTGAAATGATTGAATCGAGAATTACTCTTTGTTCGGTCTGACCGAGGGGACACAAGGTGCCGCCAGCATAATAATTTAAAACTCAATACCCCTCCCAAACTGCCTAAAAGCCTTGTCTCGAACTGCCTAGGTTACAATGGTATCCTCCCCAATAGCATCTGCGCAATATCTTACAGATTCGTTCGGGTTTCCTACCGGTAATTCGAGGTTAAGAATGAAGACACGAAAAGCGCAGCTGAAGTATCGAGGGTTTACGTACGATTGTGGATGAGCTGTTAGCTCTCTTCAGGTATGAGACCGGGCCTGGGTCTTTGATTAGTGATAGGAGAACTGAGAAGAACCAGGGGTGCCAAGAGCCAAGACCCTCTCCTAATAATTCACGGACAAACCCATTAAGGTAGTCCGGAGCATGTACCTAGGTACATCTACTTAGCCTACCTATGTAAATTTTCAATATCATGTGATACTCCTATAAATCTTATTACATCTCGAAACTCTTTGACTCGTTGCGTCACCCTCGTGCCATTGCTTTTATCGGCTACGACTCGATGATGGTGATGACGACGACGAAAAGCCGTCAATGAATAGCCCTTGCATCTCCCGGGGGGAACGAGAGGAAACTGAATTACTAACTTCGGATCCCATGTATGATACTGTAGTACAAGAACCCATTGTGCAACTTCCGACTCGTGTCCCAATAGACGAGACAGGATACCTCCCGATACCAATGTAGCACAAGAAATCCAGCCCACAGAACCTGCAACAGTTTGACGTTCTCTCTCTTTTTTCTTCTCTTTAGTAGTATCGGATCGTGTGGCTCCAATTAATACATGTTCGTGATACGTTCGCAGTTGTGTTACATGTACCATTAAAGGAAACTTGTCGCGGGACTTTTGAGTTTTTTTCCCTCTTCGACATACTTGCTCCACCTTATTCCCCCCACGTTGATGGAATAATCCGGACTTAAAGATATTTAGGATCCCTGGGTAGATGCTTTAGATTTAGACGTGTAGATTGGCTGGCAAGCGGGTCTGGATATGAATATTGTCAGTACTTTATCAATACTATGAATAGAGACGGCTCTCATGTCTTGTCGTGTGGTTGGTAGTGCTCCAGGTGGCGTAAGGGCCAGACCTTCTGTTCTTAAAATAGGACCTCCCAACGGCACGTCTAAAGGCCGAGGCATTGAATCAATAGGCATGAGCCTCTAAGAGCCACTCAACTGGGTATAATTGTCATCTTATACTCACTCAGTCTTAATGGAAATAGCGTCGGCCTTGGCAAGATCTCATTATAAACTTACCGCATACGTCACCAAGGTAAGCAAGCAGCTGAGGAGAATGCCACGAGAGGCCTCAAAAATAGACGTGCTTGAGGTTATGAGCATTATGTCTCTTGTTATAACTAGATTGTACATGTAAGCCGATGAAGATGGAGGATGTCGAATGATGGTAGACTGATTACGTGTCGTCACTTAGCCCAACATAGTACAAGGGCATACTGCTAAAGGCATCTAGGTAGCTAGTCTGCGGCTACGGAATTGGGCTAACAAGAGACAAGCTCTCGCATGGATCTGAGTACGTAGTAGTACTGTTTTCCTTTAGGCGTACATTAGAGATCGAGGATGAGGAATGGGCACTAGCCGCCCATGGCCGGAACTGAAGAGGATCTCAAGATGCAAGGAGACTTCATAGACAAAGGAGGCAGTGTGTATGACTTGTCAATATCTAGCATAGGGATGCCATATAGAACGATAAGTGAACTGGGATTCTGTTGCCATTACGGCTATTGGCCTCTCACTTGCCGTTCTTATCTATATCTAGCGTCTTCTAAATCATAGTGGCGTTCCGTCTAAGTTCTTACTAGAAATGAAGCACTTCACTTCATAGCGATCGCCATTCCTGTGAGGAAGTGAGGAAGGTAGAGGGTCTATCAGATATCTATCGCGAGCGAATACTCGGGAATCATTCACCTCATCTCAGAAATCATGACTTGAAGAACATCCCAAGTCCCGCCCAAGACGAGACGATTTCACTTAACCACCTCTTCCCCCCCTTCCCCTTGTACCACCACCAGCACCGCCTCGTCCACCCTTCCCTCCTCTACCATTCCTCCCTCCCCTCTTGCTGCCCTTCGCGCCCCGTCCACCACTCCCAAACCTCTCATACAGCTTCTCCTCACCAAACGCCATCTCGCCGAACCTGATATAGCTAATGAGCCCACCATCTACCACCGCCACAATTGCATTCCGCCAAGCATGCTTTAGACGACGGTAAAGCTGCCCGGGCCCCCCTCCTCCGTTCTGGCCTTGCTTCGGCTGCTCGGGTGGATCCCAGGGCGTGCAGTGTTCCAAGAGCGCCGCCATCTGCTCCAGCGTGGGCACGGACGAGCTCCTTGCGTCGACGACGGCGATGCGGAAATCAGGGGGCGGGGGCTTGGTTTTCGAGAAGGCGGTGCTGCTCTTCCAGATGTGGTAGTGGATGTTGAACGGTTCTTTCGGTGGCGATGTGGAAGCTTTGGGTTGGGGAGTAGGTTCGTGTCGTGGGATCAGGGCGAGTTGGGCGAAGACCGTGTTGTAGGAGCGGTAGAGGCCTGGTTTAACGAGGGGTCCGTAGGGCGGTGGGTGAGTTTTGGGTATCGTGGGGAAGAGCGAGAATAGCCATTGCCAGAGAGACTGGGTGGATCTCGTAGGGACTGTGGTAGGCAAGGGCATTGGTACTGCTCGCATGACCTTATAGCCTGTTCTTCGGAGGTTGGCGTAGACTTGGTACTTCTCGATGGTGACTTTCCCCCTTTCGCCATCCTTGCCGATAAAAAGAGCGTATGCCGCCTGAAGACCAATAGGTATTCCGAGCTCATAGTCCTCAAACTCTTTACTAGGCCCATCACCGGATCCATCCTCATCGCCCTTCTTCACTGGAAAGATATCCTCGATCCCGCGTGCAGGCCACCAGAGATCAAGTGATCCTCGTTCGACCAAATACAAGGCCTCTTCCGGTAATAACCACGTCTTCAGCGCTCCAGGGGTTTGTTTATACGCCTCAAACCCGGGACCTGTAACAACACGACCCGTATTCTGTGAGAGGGGTCCCTTGAGATCACCCTCAATAACCACAACACGATCTGGCGCAAACATTCTCGCCCCCTTCTCGGCATCTCTCTCCTCGTCGCTTGGCGCCTCAGCCCACTTATCCGGGAAATACCATCCGCGGTTGCAGTCCTTGGGCCGGTGCGAGCGAGTATAACTCAGGACCTCGTGCATAGCAGCACGGCTAGCCTCGAGGGCGCCCTCCTGCGCGCGCGTTCCATGGGACTCGAAGTCCTTCTCACCGCGCCGCAATGTCTTGCCCGACGTATGCTTCTTTTCGAAGAGCGAGTTGAAGAGCCGGAAATCCTGCGTCTCATCGCCGAGGGCATCCTCATCTGCATCTTGCTCCCCGGATATAGCCGCTGGGCCTGACGGAGGCACGAGGTCTTCGTCGTCGAAGGGCATCCTTCTAGGCTTGGGGCTGATAAATCAAACCCTGTGAATTGGAGCTTATGTGATGGTACAAGTAGAGATGACTGTCACATGTCAAAACTCAGTACGTATATCTTTTACGTACGAATATTCACGGCTCCAGGGCTGCTCTAGAGGGCAAGATAAGAGGAAAGGAGCTTTGCGAGTCCTAATTCGTGAATATTGGCTGGTGACTCTAAAAACCCAACCCTCCAATTCCAATTATTAATTGAAGCCTCAAACAATACCAGGTAGGTCTAAAGCTGTTCTCTGGATTCGCCTAGCACATGTAGGACTGTGAAGCATTTGGGAGACTCGCACTAGTAGAGACCCACCTACACAATTTGCAGCACTAGCCTCTGGAGGTCAGTGAAACCGGCTATCCAATGAGCATCCATTCCCGTCATACTTCCCCCCCACCCACCACAAAATCGACCTGCCCAGTGCGCTGGTGTTTGCACACACATATAAATGACAGTAAGCGACCGTCCTTCCATGAACCACCATTAACGGTGCTAACTGGGAGTTTGGCCGAGTGGTTAAGGCGTCGTGTTTAGGTCTCCTCACAGGAAATCTTGAACGTTGTTCCGCGATGGGAAACCGCGCAGGTTCGAATCCTGCAGCTCTCACTCTTTTTTGTCCTTTTCTGATCCGATTTGACAGATGCTTTTATTTTATCGTTATTTTTTATTCTAGGCATCGTCACCTTTTCAAACTTCGATGTTCTTCATCGTGGGGTACGAAGTACTTGCATGTGGACACCAATTCACTTCAATGGTAAACCTTAAAGATACATGTAGCTTTCACATAAGCAAAGCGTTTGGACAATTCATCAATCGACTCGATGTAGCTAGGATTATTCATTAGATCCCTTATATTGCTTCCGGTAGTAAGGCTCGTCGATCAGTCCTATTCGAGTAGCCAATATGCACGCGCATGTGTATGAAGTGGAGGTCATCTCGACGATTATTCGGTTGCCTAATGGTACCTTGGGAAATACATTGGACGATCGCCTGGCAGGCCATGGCCATGGACGTGAATTATCTATCCGGTTCAAAACCCTTCCTTCACTGGACATCATTCCGAAATTGGTCATTGCCGAAAGATCATATTCAGGGACCACCTCAACGCGCTACCGTATTCCTCATATATCGCAACTCTCCATCACATCCAAACAGGTAGATTTCTAGACAAATACATATAGCATCAACAATCATTTTAGCATTGACCTATGCTATGCGTAAGCTACCTCATAATTGCCTTAGATAGTTGCTCAAGCAGCTCCAATGAACTTCCAATCGCCTGTGCAATGAATGGCGATTCACCAACTACACCGAAGATTTCTCGCAATGCATTGTTTTGTCGTACTTTCCTCCCAATCAATCATATGTGCGCGCTCGTCCTAAGTAGCAACCGTACAAGAGGTGCAGCATATGTACACATAAATACAACTGCAACTCTACAACTTCTCGCAAATTGTAGCAACCCCTTACAAATAGATAGTTTGCCAATACGTATGACACGCCCACTGATGATGCCTTCCTTTTGGCCTGAATGATCGAGGAGTTGATTCATCAGTATGATCCATCAGTGGTCAACGCATGGCAGTGTTCCACGCTCGTGGACATAGGCGGGAAGAACGTAAAGTCGAGAACGCCTGACAACCAAAATCACCGTAAAACGCCCGGAATCCGATGCGCTGGTATCTGTCTCCGATCTCGTACCGCCCTTTGCTAATGATTCGCAACCATAACGCCGTAAAGTCCGTCACGACGGTACCTATGTCCGTCAAAAACAAATTCCTCCGAACTCACGGGTCCAGAACTCCAATGCTTGCTTCCTATTCCTAGAAATTCTCCGGCGATTATGATCATTATAAAATCCTACCTATGCAGGACCTAGTTACCTGCATAGGCCATCGGAAGGGTCGAGGGGTGTCTTGTGTTGTTGTATCGCTAGAAAACCGTAATCGGCAGGGACCATTTTCAAGATCTTCCCTCTCCTTAACAAGTAGGTACCGTACAAGCAGCCGGCTTCAAGTCCTATGCGTCAGCCAAGCATACTACTCCTAGGATAGTAGTGCTTCAAACCTTGCTCGTACTGGTTTGGGCCAATACACCGAAGATCATATGATCCTTCGGCTGCACGGGTGGTATTAGGCGAGACAGATCATTCCGAATTCCAAAGCTGACATAACAGCTGAGTGCCCGAAAACCCGCAAAAGCATGTTTGTCGGCTTGACTCTAGCAGTCGTGATGCTTGTCGCGTCCTTGTTAAACTTTCGAGACGATATTCTCATTCGATTAGCGGTTTCTTCTGCCCCCCTACTAGGCAAAGCCCTAGTGTTGCTAGAGCATTATAATCATTGGCTAATACAATGGTTCTTGCTGGCAACATTGGATTATTCGGATCGACGGACGAGGCATCTTTCGCTGCTTGCTCGATAGCATCCATTTCTTCTTTACATGCCTGATGATCTAATGGGCATATGACGATGGGCTGTCGTAGAGTAATGTCGCGGGCTGATGTTAATTGCGCCTGTGATTTACAATATGTCAGACATGATCTCCAAGTAATCCCATTCGCTGTTCTTGTCGTGTTCGCATATACATACCTTAATACTGAGGTAGAATTCAATCTTGTAGAGTGTAGATGTCGTCGTAAATGATGTGACCTCGTAATTTGGAAATGCCGGCTGACCCCTTCTGATAATCCCATTTGCGTCTCTCAAGTCCTTGTGGGGGAATATGATCCCCATATTGGTCACATAACCCTCCTCAGGTAGTTTGGCTCCAATGGTTTGGGTATGCTTTTGCAATCTGTTAACTTTCTTCGTCGGCTCATCCCCTTCCGGGTTATATGTGATCTCCTCCTCGATCGCGAGCGTTATCTTCTGTATGGTAACCTTCCTCGCCTTGTTCATCCAATCCAGATTGGGCGCCAGCTTAATATATACCGTGATCGGGTCCATAGGTCCGTAGCTCCATCTTGGAAGCGAAATGCCGAGTGTCACTATGTTGTCGGTGGTCGCAACTTTGTGCTCGGGTCGGTTGTACATTCCGAAGGTCGACAATGTGTCATATCGCTGCAAGGGAACCGGAAATGCATATTTGTTCTGCACGCTCTGCCCTTGCTGCACCGTGACCACCAGTTCGTAGTATGTCTCTGCGGTCCTACTCGGTAGTTGTAGGGATGCCGGTGGTATCCTCCTATTCGTCTCTTCGCCGCCTCGTCCATACGGGATAAATAAGACAAACGGTAGATCCATCGCCATGACGTTCTCTGCCTCCCTCCCCGTCGCGCATCGATATAATAGCAGTTCCTTTCCAACAACATCGGTCGTGTCGCGTCGGGGTGTACCGAGGTGGCGCTTGGCTACGTGTTCGGCGGCTGGGTGGATTGTTTCCCTCCTCTGTAGACATATTCGCACTAGTGATATAGCGACGGGCGCGGAATATCCTGCCCCAGGTCTAATCTCGACTTTTCCTTCGATGCGCGGCTACGCACATTTGTTAGTCGGGTTAATTAGGCGGCTGGGTAGAGGGATCGCATGGCTCTTCAGTTTCGGTAACCGGCGCCACACCCCACATTCAGGAAGGCGGAAACAAACAGATGAATACGAGATTGAGCAAAGTGCGAACTTACCAATGTCGCTGAAATCCCCGGGTATCCAACTAAAAAACTACTATTTGGGGGACCAGAAACCCGGACGAAAGCTTGTACTCGTTCTGCCATCTTCGCGCAACGTGCCCGGCCGGTAATAGGAGAAAAGTCAAAGATTCAACGTCGGCTGGGCGCATCTACTCCTCATCGACGGGCTATGAGCCCACGCCTTCATGCGAAATGCGATCTTCGAGCAGTCCGGAGTAGAATATTGAGGTCATTACATTTCAGGTTCGTGCCGTTGCAATGCTTGTGTTTAGGTTCATGTGCGAAGAGATTCTGTGGCCGGTGTTTAGGTACTATGGTCTTAGATATTGGCGACCGGTGTTGCCTATCGAGGAAATTGAGGGCGAAGGGTTGCAAAAGGCGGGACGTAGCAATTGGTCTTGGTTGCTGATGGAGACGGTGGCTGAGGTAAGGTAGGGACGCGAAGTCGACTGGCGGTAGGGTCACAGCCCGCCCGCTTTGACAGGAATTGGTCGGTGAATGAATGATAGCTAAAGCAAGCCGAGCCGTGTACTAGGTATAGAGACTCGGGATGTTGAAGTTGGTAGGTTTGTAGGTTAGAAGCTCCGCAGCTCGGGATGCTCAGATCTAAGATCTAGGTATTGGACAATACACGCGGATAACGAGAAACCGAAAAGGTCCAAGGCAGAGGGGGAATTAAGGTTCTAGGCGACGTCCGCTTGTGTTGAATCTAGGCAGTTTACATTGACTGAAGACGTATCTTCCCTGAGAGCGTTGTCAACCCCACAAGTTTGTATGCGGACAAGCCGGGGGTTTCTTCCTGTCATTAAATTTGGGTAACAAAACGGTGGGAGGCAGGACTCCAAAAGCCGGAAGCGATAGAAGATGGGAAATCTGACAGATACCACCTGCCCTGAAAGTCTGAGGGCTGAATGGGGAAATTGGCAGCGGGTAGTACAATTGTACAATACATAGGAGCACGAGGATTTGGGGAAACTTCCACCACTGTCTGGTTTTCGAAGCCAATAGACGGCCGTTCCGATTCGGGCGGTTAGGTACGGTGGAGTTGGTACCTTACCTTACAGCGAAACCCATACTTAGGGCAACCATCGCCTGCTATTGCTTGCCATTACCCACCAACACTTGCCCTTCCAGGTACTTTTGCTAGCTAACAGATACATCCATATCCATACGAATGAGCTCACAATGTGATTCAGCTGAATATAAGTTGCCCGACTATTTTCATGCTCTCTGACTTATGCAAATCATCTTATTCCATCCTTCACTTCTAAAAAAGATTACCCTTTCACCTCAACAATGCAAGCACCTATGAACTATGTTTCCCATCAATGACGACAAAGGCATGCTAATAATGTTGGTGAAAGGATCAAAGTATCACCCTAGGACTTTATCTGACCATTATGCTCTAGCCCAACGTCACGGTACCATAACTGCCGCTAGGGCGATCTGTCATTGCAACGGCATCCGAGGCAGATGAGGTACCATTCTCATCGTCTAAGGGTCATCGATGAAACTCTTGTCCCTGCTGGCAAACCTTGAATTAGTTAATCCATGGATACATGTAAGTATAGCTTAGTAATGTATAAGAAAAGGGGGCATCGTGCATGGTGGGTGAGACTTCAATATTCGGATGGGTGCGACACACTTCCCTTCGCATAGAAGCTTTTCTTCGGGCGCAGCTGTGTACCTTCAATGCCTGTGTACAGAAGGGTTCCTTAGCTTGGGGGCCGAAATAGGAGCCTAAACCTGGCAACCGGATGAGGCTGAGGATCCAGAATAGTACCCCTGCTTGGTGATGTAGGTACAGGCAATCATTCAACTGTCATCATCTTGCGGCTCTTCGAACCCACTTGATCCGATGTCAACTCACCTAGAGAAATAGGGAACTCAATGTAGTCTATCCAAGGAGGTTTATAGGTTAGATGAATTCTACAAGATGCATACCTACCTAGGTAGCCAAGAGATAGACTATGGCCAA